CGGGATAGACACTGAAGATTTTTCTCAGGACAGTGATGTTTCTTCTAGTCGTGATGCGGAATACATATGAACAGTTGGTTCATGCTAGCGGAAGTTCTTGCCAATTGCCCGAACAATTTGTAGATTAAGGTGACAACTATTCTTGAGAAGCGTCGTCCTCCGTTATCTATATGACCTGATTTTTATTTTGCAGCAACACTTGTACGTAGAAATTTGTTACATATGACCATTCATTGTCCTTAAGCTATTGTTCGGCTTACATATAGAGATTTATTGCATAAAATTTTCTCTGTTCACTGAAGTCCAGCAAGTGTTTTCCAAGCCGGCAATGTCATTGTTTGTATTCAGAAGTATGAAGGGGAAGGCGACTAGAGAGAAACAGAGGAAATTTCAAGAAGACCAAAATGCAGGAATCAAGTCCCGCAAAGTAGCAGAGAGAAACATCTTATTAGAATTTTCTACTTATCCGGACCACCCGGCGGTTTGGAATCATAAGATGGGAAGTGAAACAAATTCGAGAAAAGAAAAGCCTTTGTTCAAAGAGTATAATGAAAGATACAAAACTAGGATTTGTAAATTTGAAACTAATCAATCATCACTGTTTTCTCCTTTTGGCATCCTCCAGGTGAATCAACATGATTCGCTTTTTACTTGCCACACGTCTCAGCTCGTCAAGTCTCGACATGTTTTCATCAAATCGACGCATTTCTTTTGACCTCCTGCGGATTGCTTGATCTGCACTAAACTTGGAGCGTAAGAGCACGCATGTGCCCAACAACTATTGTCGGCCTGTTCTCCGAGATCCAATACTTTTAAAGTATCCAGCCTCTCCGATGATGCTAAGTGAGTAGCGATTCGGTATTTCTCTGTTAATACCCATGGCGACTTGCTTGCTCCACGACACGTTTTCGGCCTCAATCTTAGTCGTAATCCATATGTCAAGTTCAAAAGGATTTACTTGGTTGTGTGTAAGTAAAACCGCAAGCTTCTCTTCTCTGACACAAGATAAAGTCACATAGTCATCATCCCCGGAGTTAACGCAGAAGCGGTCCGAATCTCTCACTTGTAAAATCAAAACAGATTATGTGACCATCACGTTCGTCTTCTGAGTCCCTTGGTGAGGCAGGCCAGTAAGTGTTTCCTTTGAGAGAAACCCCACGCGAACCAAACATTTTACGCCAATATGGAGTGACATCAAGAGTCGTCCATAAACCCGAGTCAAAATCGTAGATTTCATACCCAAAAACCCGAGTCTTGTGTAATATTTGTCTATAAACCTCAAGAATTTGTGGCTACGACAAGATTTCTTATCCTCGTATCCGAGAGCGTAACTAAACCTATCCCATCCTTTTGGGCGGTGAGAATATCTAGATTCGATCCACCTTGTTTGTCCCCAATACGGATTCCAAACCATAACTTTAATTAGTGTCGTCTTCTTCCAAGATGCATAACAATAAACCCTTCACAGTGAAAAACTTGAGAAATCTTGACTTGTTCGTTAAGGCAAGTAAGTTTACCTATAATCTCTATAGATGGATCATTAACAAAGACGCTCACTAAATAAAGATTGTAATCCATCATCACGATCATCAGAGACTCCCCTTCCCTTGTCGTTGCTGCTGCTCTACGAATGTGTATCTTCCTAAAGCTCTTACTTTTGGTTAAACTGTTCCACGTTTTGCAAGCTAATCGCACTGTAATCATAATAGATTTCAAGGGAACCCTAGACACAATCTCTTTCAACAAATCCCTTGGAAGATCGGTGATCATCGTCATTGCTTCAATTTCCAAACTAGG